GGTGATGAACCTTCGGGTTCTGTAAGCCATCTGTTTGGTTGGGTCCACTATTTGGGAAGCCTGAGGGGAAGAGACCTCTGGGGAGACCTAGACGTAGATGGGAGGATGATCTCAGGCGGGATCTATGGGAGATAGGAGTTGAAGGAAACTGGATTTTGTTGGCCCAGGACAGGGTCCGGTGGAGGGCTTTGGTTAATTCGGTGATGAACCTTCGGGTTCGGTAAGCCATCTAGTTAGTTAGTTAGTTAGATATCCTTACTGAATATCTTAGTGCGTTTTCCTAGCCTAGTCGAACGAATGACTTCAAACAAATTAATTACAAATCCCCCATTTATGATGTTTTTCACATTCAATATTATAGGGTCACTGCGACTGAAAAACCTCGTTGTTAAATAACATCACATTTAATTAACTTTTTTTCGAAGGTACCTGGTGTTCAAATTTTCTCCTGCCCCTGGGTGCTCGAATGGTCCTTGCCACCGTGACGTCACCTCGAGTCTCCACGTACAGGCCTGCCTCTTCAGCTGTTTATCGATCACACAATTTTGCTGTAAATTAAGGGACCTGAACGAATGAAAAGAAGGAAAACTCTAATACATAACCAGGTGACATTAAATGCATGAATCAGCATTCGTATATACAGAGCAATAAAGTATTTGTCTCGAGTACCAACTCTGACCTGCAGTGCGTTACTATGATCTAAAATGCATTAAAGGGGTAGTACCCCCTGTCTCAACAACACAGAAGCCCCTCTGGCGGACATTAACAATGAGGGGAGTCAAATTCGTTGGCTTTGAGCTTGCCTAGTGCAGCTCGGAAGGCCTTCTGGGAGACTTATACCTTCCCCCTGGCATAGACAGGTTGACGCCCACTGGATTGGCGGATGCTTCGGGTTCCCTTATCTCTTTTTTCAGCGATAATTACCAGCTTTAGTAGTCGCAAGATAACCTGGGACAGCTCACCTAGATGGGCCTTGAGAAAGGCCAGTTCTTCATTAGCCATGGTCCTGTCAGTCACTCTCACTCGAATATATCGGAACCAACATCAGGGAGTCAGATGGGGGCTGGTATGACTGCAGTGTCATCCTCCAAAATAGGACATGCGGCCCGATGACATCTGGTTCCATCTCTCTGTAGAAGGTAATCACGTACGATTTACACTGATAATCATGATGTGGTGTTCATGTACCTACTTCCATTTTCTTCCAATAAGAATAGCAATGCTTAGTTTATATTAGTAACTTTATAATAAATTATAGGTTGTTGTTATATACAAATTTGAAAATATTATCTGTTTATGTACAATGTTTGATAGCTTATTTAAAAACGATGCATCTGCTATGTCTGTTGTTGGAGGATAATTAAAAATCTGGCTGTCGTCATGTCTAACGAAGGCTCTGCTTACTCCGCAGAGCGGACTCTTCTACCATTGGAACTACTTTCAAATAATTGTGTTTCATGGTTGACCGGTTTGTTTGAATTTATTAAACTAGAGGCACACACAAGAAGAGTTATTATGTGCTCATGGTATCTGCAGATAATGACTTCATTCAAATTAAAGTTTGGGGTCATTATGATACGTTTTAAGGTTAAAATTTAAGATGGTATGTCTACCTTAAAATATAAATTGGAAGCGTGATTTTGATCTTTTGTAAGCATAGTACTGAAGAGAATGCTGATACTTACACCAATAAACCAGACGACACTGGCCAGCAAACCAGTATAATTGATACCTGTCTCTACAGAAAAGGATGCTGTTGTACTGTGGAACAAAGATGGCATCTTCCTGGGCAACTTACCCTGATAATGGCTCACTTACCAACTTACCAATGGATGTGACTGAACCTGGAGGGTATTCGCGTGTTATCAGAAACTCACAAGGGGATAAACAGATACCAAGTACCTGTCTAAATTTACAGCGTGAGTGCAATGTTTGTCTGTTACAGTCAGGAGGCATGAATTTTGTTTTAAAAGAACTATATAGAGTCTTTGAGAGGCTGATATTGCATTCGTCTATAAAACATGACAGACTGTAGTTTGGGGCACCAAATATTTATATTTATCTGTATCACGGATACATAAATGACAAAACACTGAAACTTAACCACAAAGAATCATTGTTAGAGTATGAATGATATTTAATGTTTCCAAAACTGAAAATTTAATTGAAAGGGTTTTATTTTTATTGTATTAAAGAGAAACAGAGCATTACGGTGAATTTCCAAAAATAATTTGCAGAGTTATTCGAGGTTAGTGTGATTGGTTTTCCTGGGTGAGCCATTTTGTTAGCAAGAGATTGTTGATTTTTATTTCAGGTTCAAAGATCTGTTGATAACAG